GGGGCTTCTCAGGGGGCGGGGGGGAGGGGAGCGGGGCGTCGCCCGGCAGCTTGCGCCAGGTTACTTGCTATCGGAAAGCACCAGTGCATTCTGCCTCGCCCTCTTCCATGTCTTTGTTCAAGCCCTGCCTCCCTGGATCCCGAAGCCCTCAACCATGCCTCACCTCCCAGCGCGTGTAGCCGGCCGCTGTGTCCTGCATCACTACCTTGAAAGTGACATCGCCCACCTGCAGGCAGCCAAAGGGCAAGCAGGCCGCGGGAGCAGAGCCGCCGAGTGTGGGAGTGGGGGGGGGGGTGGGGGGGCGGTGGCATGCAGCCAGCAGACAAGGGGCGAGGAAGAAAGCCAACGCATCCTGCATGGGTGTGCGCAAACTTTCAACAGGAATGGGGGTCACACCGGCAGGGGTACGTCCAGTGTCCACTGGTGGCCCTCGCTCCAGGTCATAGTGGGCGCCTGGTGGTGGGCATGAAAGAAAAATCAGCACAACAATGGCATGTGCGTGGATTGAGCTTGCATTTGTGGGTGAGTGCACGTGTTGTGGGTGCGCGCACGCATGCGCTCACTGCACGTGAACGTTGGTTGAGTAACCAATGCAGACACATCATAACGGTGGGGTGTGAGCAGATGCGAAGGCTCTTGAGGTGACGCGGTGTGACCCAAACTCTGGCAGGGACGCAGCCAAAAGTCGCACAACCCCCCTTACACTTAAACTTTGTTTCCGTGCCCCACCTGCTCAGGAGCCCAGTTGCCCAGCTCATCAACGGCGCCCACCACCTTGAGGACCTGCCCATAGCTGCACAGGAGACGGTAGAAAGCGCAGGAGACAGCTGCAGGTGGGCATGCGTGGTGGCTCTAATTGGTGTGCTGCCTTGACCAATTGCAATGATCCCGCTCGCCCTTCTAACCCCGCCCTTCCAACTTCACAGAAATACTAAGTCAAGCAGTCTGCTGTGGATACACTGCAAGTACCTGGTGACGTATTGGGGTACGACGAAGGAGACATTGACGCGGTCGGAAGGCGCCGCAAGCGCCGTCACCTCCTCGACCGCCACTAGCGCCGTCTCGTGCTCGCTGCTGCTGGTGGTTTCGGTGCGCTCCTCCTCGACAGCAGCATCCTCCAGCGGCGGAAGCTGCTGTGCAACTGACACCACACCAGCCACAAAACGTGCACAGCTGTGCTTGGTGACCCGGCCCCACAGCGCGGCCGATGCCATGCCTCCATGCCTGGGCCGACTGGGGACAGCCCGGGGACGCGTCGCGCCTGCCGCACCAGGTGCGACTGCCCCGCGGCGATGCAGGTTAGCCTGCATACCTGCGATAATTCAATCCAGCGCCGAACAAGCAGATTACGGCATCGTCGAGAGGGCCATTTCGGGCAAGCACATGTTCCAGGGGTGAGTGATGCGTCAAAGGCGCCCCCTATTTATCAGGTGTCAGCCAAAAAGATTGATGCCTCGATCGTGCGACTCATGGCTCACCGGGGGCACCGCGCGCTGCCAACATCAGTGGAGACGGGAGAGCTCTGCGCCTTGTGCACAGTTTAGTCGTCGCTCTGGAATCAAAAACATGCACGTGACTGTTTTCTGTGCCGTGCGAGACTGCCAAGGGTGGTGATGTCTGCGCACAAGTCGCTGAGTCCTGGTCGCACTGCCTGGTCGCATTCACGCCATTGCCTGCCGCGCACCGGCTCCAGGGTTTCACGAGGTGACGGTCCCTCGACACGCAAGGAAGGCGAGCTGTGAAGGCATCAGGTTGCTTCTGCTCTAAGCTGGCTGCTGGTTGGTGTGTGCGTGCCAGCTGGGCCGACAGCAAGAGCATGAGCCCTGCCATGCATGGCAGTGTTAAAGTTCGCACCAAGTGCGGCTCCATGGTTGACCCAAGCATAGCGTGTTGACTTTCAGGGGGACGTATTACAAGTGACTTCCACGGTGCGTGGGACGAATCAACGCGTCAATATCCTTTGCACGGCAGGCAGCATGCAGAACGCATTCCAGGATACCATGTTGACCCAATCCTGCCCTATTGGACATATGTTTTGATGGAAAAATGCGCAGCCCCGTGCGTGTTATTGTTGGTCCCTGTAGAGATAAGCTCTACGATTTAGTCACTTACTAACAATGACCTCTTTCTTGCCCCTGCACTCATGCACCTCGCTTTCGCTGCCTGTCTTGTGTCCTCAAAGGCAACAGGCCAGCGAGGTGCTGCCCAGACTGGGGTCACGCACGGGAGTATCACAGCCTGCGCACAACTTGCAATGCAAGTGCGCCCAAGTAGCCGGCATACGCCCCCCTGATGCACACGCCGTTGCGTACATCCCTGCGCCACGGCCAATGCGGCCCGCCACCCGCCACGTGCAGCAAAACTTGTCTGAGGAGGGGGTGACAGCGTGGGGGCTGGCACGCTTCTCCCCTGCGCGTGGCCATTTGACGGTGTCGTGCGCCCCCAAAGCACGTGCTGGTGTGCGAATACGGTAGCAGGCAGGCGCCACCATAATAATGCTCTTGTTAGAGCCCAAAAGGGTCATGGTGCAAACCCCCGTGTGCAGGGAGTGCTGTGATGTGAGCTCGCACGCGGTGCCGCAGCCTGTGCTGCTGCACGCCTCGACGCGCCGTGCAACCACCGCCGACGCGACCGCTGCCGTTACTGTCGCCGCTTGGAACACTTGGTGCGTGCGTGAATACCGTAAATGCATCCAATGTGCAAACTCTGCAAGGACTGAGGATGAGAATGCCTGCGTGAATTAGTGATTCATGCAGCCCCAAGAAAGGCCCAATCCCGAAGCACTTCGTCATGCGGAGGTGCACCACAAGATGCATATACTATAGCTACATGCTATACACCCGCGCGGTGGCGCGATTGAGGTGCACGCAGGCCTCTGACAGATGTGCTAGAGTGGTGTTTGACTGTGCCCAGGCACCCCGTTTGCTGTCGAAGCATGCACGGCCCCGAAGATTATGTGTAGGTGCATGAGAACACTCTGGGTGTGCCTACCAGCCCGCCGGACGCCTTCCAGCCGATGCCCGGGCCCCACAACGGAGTGCTCACCTTCTGCACACACCAGGCGTGGGGTTAGAACCCTTTCGTTCTCTGCGTGCAGGGCACCAGAATGTCTCCGTCAAGCCCTACTCAGAATGATTTGTACTATTCGCCACACCCAAGCGCACTCCAACCAACGCCCCGCACGCAAAGCTACACACCCATGGGAAACTGGGCGGAAGGCCACAGAAATTCGGTCGAACACAGGGCTCCGCCCCAGGGGGGGGGCTGCGCAAAATCGCCTTGCATTGAGCGCTGCAACATGCATAACACGCATAATACACTTCCTGGCCAGTGGTGGCACATGTCCATCTGTGTGGCTCGGCGGCGTCGTGCTGCAGTCGTGATGGCGGACCGTGGCCGTTGACCACTGCTAGCAGCGGCCGATCTGAAGAACGCTGGCTTGATCACCGGATCACGGAATCTGGACAGCTCCGTAAGCGGTATATCGTAATGTGATATTTGAATGTGTCTCGAACGCGACTCCCTTCATCAATGCCGCCAGCCAGCCATCGATGAGATCGCCGCGCGGTATTTGATCCACGAGTGAAGCGCAAGGTTTCTTGCACTTGAGTCACTGGTGACATTACACAACAAGCCATACGTACACTGCGTCTCATCCGCCTGTGCTGCTCAAGACCGATCTGCTGCGCACAATTGTGGCGCAATGGAGGTGGTGAAGGCAGATCTTTATCGCTTAGCTAGCTGTAGCAGCCCAGTTCACCTGTGCCCTAGCGCCTGGGTTGTCGCAGGCGCGCTGGCGGCGCCGCACTTCCTCTATGCCTTCATCTGGTTCAAGCCCGACCGCTGGCAGCGGCTATTTTGCGGCACCAAGGCGGTGGACGCGTTTGCCTTTTTTGGAGCCCTGGGCAAGGGTAGGTCACAGTGCGCTGGAGGGTGCAGCACCTAGCTGCTTGTACCGTATGCTTCACCGGCATGAGTTCCCCGCATCACCGCGTGTCGATGTGGTGGGGACCGAGGGGCAGGGGTGGTGAACCATTGCAAGCGCGATGTTTCCGACCCAAGCGCTAGATACCATGTGCATCCTCACGCATCTGGCCAATGGTGGCTGCAACCTAGGCGAGGCCGCGGCCTGCCTTAGTCATCGCTGTTAACCGTCGCTTCCATTCCTCGGGTTCCCCCCTTGCCCCACCACACGTACAGTGCTGCAGTTTACAGTGGTGGGCCTGTGGCTTTCGTGCCAGCTGCCAGCCGGGCTATGCCTAGACCTGCGAGCAGTGGGCCTTCTGCAGTGGCTGGCGGCGCTGGCGCTGTTTGGTTACGGGCAGTCGCTCAACGCTGGCATCTTCCGCGCGATTGGCCACGTGGGTGTCTATTACGGCTTCAAGCTGGGCCACGAGGTGCCCTGGGTCAAAGGGTGGCCCTTTGACACAGTCAGCCACCCCCAGTATGTAGGCTCAGTGCTGAGCGTGTGGGCCATTGTGGCCCTGCTGTGGGGCCAGGTGGCATCCCCTGCGCTCCTGGTGTTGGCTGGGTACTGGACGACGCTGTACGTGATTACGGGGTTGCAAGAAGACCGCACCTGAGTAAACTTGGCTCTGGCTCTGATGTAGCTGCCAGACGATGGCGGTTGTTCAAATCTGAAGTCCTGGGTCACAATCCCGCTGGAGCGGGTCACACAGGTGCGTGGTGGGTGGGGGATGGCTCGGTGCGCCTGTGACAGTCATCTTTGATTGACGACGTATGGGGTTGACAAGTCTCCATACAACATGCGTGTGTTTTGCCTGCGCAACCTTGCTTGCGCAAACAACCTGTTGATTTTGTGTGCCAAAAGCGCTAAGACGAGCTTCGGGCTGTCTTGGTGGTCCACTGCATACGGATTTGCTCAGACGGCAGACCCCCTTGCTGTGCTTCGACTCCGCCTCAATTGCAGCCACTCAGACGGCAAGCCCCCTTGCTGTGCGTTAACTCAATGCAACTGCAGCCGCCAACATCTGTGGCATGTGCGATGCGAGGTTTGAAAGGCGCCATCACCAGGCACGCACGTTCTGCGCAACGGAAGCGCATCTGTAGCGCAGAACGCATGCACGCTGCGCCCACTCCTGCGAGATAACTTTGCCATGGCACTGGATGGCGCACAGCTGTGAAGCTCAAGCGGCCAGGTAGCTTTCAACCACAAGCTTGGGTGCGCTGGCACACCACGGGACAGTTGGGGAGGGCTGGTATCGCGGTGCCTGACCCCCTCTGTTTCCGGGCACCCCAGCGGTGGTGCGGTGCAATAAGACTTGTGTGCAAGTGCAGGCAAGTTGCTCCTGCTATAAGATGCCGACCACGGGTTTCTGCAAGTTGCCGGGATTACCGTCAATCTGTATCGCGTCCGGATACATGGAGATTTGCGAACGCTGATAAATCACGTTGCATTTTATGAGTGCACGACGATAGACTCTGACAGTTGCCCTGCACCTGACACCTAAGTCGCTTGTGCTGCATTGCCCCGCAACTGTGGGCTACGGCCAGCTGCACTGACCCGCGAGAACACTTTGAATGCTGGCTTCCTTGACATGGCGCGCTGCGGGTGAGCTGGTTTGAGCGCCATGCCGCACGGCCGATCAAGCAGCGACGACAAGTGCCCGAGTAGCCCGCCCCGCATGATTTGCACATCCACCCATGCGCCTGATCGCATGGTTTCACATCTATCCATCCCATTTTCAGGCCCGCCCCAAACCCTGCGGCTTCCCCCTGTGACGGGTGTGGCGGCCGTCAGGTTTGGAGGAGGCCGCTCAGGGAGGGGTACCGCTGGTCGATATGGCTGCCGTGCGATGGCAGACGAGCAGCGGCGCGCGCGCGAGGAGCTGGACATGCCGTTTGAAAGCAGCCTGGAAAAGGGACCCAAAATCAACACAAATGTGCCCTTGCTGCGACCTGGTGAGCGTTGTAGAAAACATGTGCACAGAAGTACTGCGCCAGAGATTTAGGGGGGCAGGTCAATGCGGTTAAGTTTTGTGGTGCGAAGGTGTGTGGGGGAGGTTTGAATGGTGAGAGGGGTGTGCCCAGTTGCTAGTGACGATGCCATTCATATTGCCCGCACAGTGGCGACCTTCCAAACCCAGCCACTGAGCCGTTTCCCACTGCTCTCGCCTCGTTGGTGCTTCTGCCATCCCAGCGGCACTGGCAGCGGGCACATTGCTGCATGGCCGGTATACAGTGGAGGCGCAGTTGGGTGCTGGCGCCAACGCCATCACCTATCGCGCCCGTGACAACGACACTGGGGAACAGGTATGCAGGTGGCAGATCCGAAAGGGCGGCACCTTCTGCATTGGCAGGCTGATAATCATGTTGCGGTCGTCGAGACGGGTCTGCAGCAGGCACACGTCTCTCGCGGCGTGCCCCTTGCGATATTGTTGACAGGTTGCCATCAAAGCGATGAGCCTCAAGGGCCTCAAGGATTGGAAGCAGCTGGAGCTGTTCCAGCGTGAGGCTGCGGTGTTGCAGAGCCTCGCACACCCAAACATACCAAAGTGCGCAGCTGCCACGTTAGATTGCGAGCTGACCGCGTGCGCGACCAAGACGCCTGGCAGTGGACGAGTTTTGTTGTCGCCTATGGTGTTGGTATGCCGATGCCTGGTTTGGCAAAGCAGTATTGCTCACGTCATACCAACCAGCTTACCAACCAGTTTGCCATCCAGCTGTGCTCACAGAACCAGTCAGAACGAGTGCTTTGGACTGGAAGCACACCTGACATAAAGCCGCGGGCTGAAGCCCTTGTGCCCAATACAGGCCTTCCCCCCACACTGGCTTGCCTCCGTGTCACCCCCCCTGGCCGCACTACAAGTTATCTGGGATACTTTGAGGAGGACACGGCTGCGGACCGCTGCTTTTATATTGTACAGCAGGAGGCGCGCGGCAGCTCATTAGCAGACATGCTCAAGGGCGGCATGCGCGCAGACGACAAAGAGGTAAGCTGCACACAACTGCACGTGCATGGCAGCAAGATCATCACGATGATGCAGGGAGAATGCTGCTGTAGTTGGCCCCCGTGCAATGTTGCCGAGTGGGAGAAGTGCTACGCATCTGGCGCAGCGCTGGGCGACACCAGGGGCATTGTGTGCATTAAGTGCGCCCTGCAGCTTCAAATTTGTTTTTTCCCGCCAAGCTGATGCACCGCTCATTACTCTTAATGTCCCCATTCTCTGATGCCCCTTGATCCCTGAGCGCCACAGGTGCTGCGCATCGCTACTGAGCTCCTGAGTGTTCTGAAGTATCTGGGTTCCCTGCGGCCCCCCGTGGTGCACCGGGACATCAAGCCGGAGAATGTGGTGCTGGAGGGCGGGGCCTGGGGGGGCCGCGTGTACCTCATCGACTTCGGCGGCGTGCAGGGGGCGAGCCCCACAGGTGCGCGTGCGCGGGGATGAGCGATGTGAAAGGCGATCTCATTTAGGTGGAGCGTCCTGTGGACGAATGACGATATTCGTTGTCTGCCTGTCATTGCTTATGCAGTAGCTCCGGACCCCAGTTGGCTCATGATGCACCCCACCTCTGTGGCGTGGCCCTCCTCCCTCACCAAACCGCAGGTGACTCGCTCGCTTCCACAATTGTGGGAACATTTGGCTACCTCGCACCGGAGCAATTCAGGTCAAGGTCATGTGTTGTGGGAGGGATGGCTGCACAAGTGCTTTTGAATCTTGTTTTGGGCTCTAGCAAGCGCTCTTTTCGCAGGAATATCATCCCGCACTCTTCATGCCTTGTAAGCCTCTTGGGTGTCCTGTCGAACACCAACAAATCATGCCGTTCACCCTCCAGGGGGGCGGCCACTCCTGCAAGCGACCTGTACGCGCTGGGTGGCACACTGCTCTACCTGGTGTCGGGGCAGCCGCCCTATGCTTTTCCCCAGGAACGCATGCGCGTTGCCTATAAGGACCAAGTCACAACTGGGCCGCAACTGGGTGGTGCGTGGCAGGGAAGGTTTGGTGGGCAGCAGGTGGCTGAGTACCAAATGCAATACGCAGGGGAGTCAGAATTGAACATAGAATCTGAACCTCGTATGCTTGCAAGTGTTTGGACCACAGCATCTGCATCTGCTTTGTGGTGTCGGACCACCTGCATTTGACCATAATATGACCGTATGACAAACATCCTGATTGGTTGAGGTTTTTTGCTATCGTCGTGCAATCTTCTCACGACCTGGTACGCAGTGAACTCTCTCTTGCACTGCCCCCCCTCCCCCTTTGACCAGAGCTGCTTGACGGGTTGCTGGAGCCACAGGCAGAAGACCGCGTCACAGCGCAGGAGGCCATCGACATTGCCACGGGCAAGGCAGCCAGGAGGCGCATGACAGCCACCATCGGGCGCGAGTCGATGGCGCAGAATGCCGCCAGTGTGGGCGTTAAGCGCACAGTGACGCTACCAGACGGCAGCGTGGTTGAAATAATGGGCAGCGGCGCAGCTGGGCGGCCCCTGCCGCGCAACGTGAAAAGGCCCACGGGCACGCGTGTGGTGTTGGATCGTACTGCCGGGCGTCTTGACCTGGAGATTCCTCCAGAGGGCATCAGCGGCAACAGCGTTGGCACCGGGGTTTTTGCGGTTGCATGGAACGCCTTTGTTGCGGTGCGCTGGGTTGAATGGGGCAGGGGCAAGTTGCGTCTGGGGAGGGGGGGGGGCAGCAAGTGGGCCCCTTGACCTCGGTGCTCTGACGTCATTTGCAGGTGTGCATGCGCTCATATCCCAACTGTCATGGTGATGTCACAGCTGAGCTCCCACCACCTTTTGTGCGGTGACACCTTGCTCTCCCACAAAACTCTCCTTAGTTTTGGACTTTTTCAGCGCTAGCTAGCGGCGGCATCCTATTTGCACTCTTCTCCGCACCCTTCTGGTTCGCTGGCTGGCAGCTGGCAGGCCAGGCCTTCGGCGGCGCGCTGACAAGGGAGCGCTTCGCCATTGGCCGCAACAAGTTCCGCCTGGCGCAGGTCTGGTCGGGTTTCATGTGCTGGCAGGGAGCGCCCAGCTGGCTGGCGTCCACCATGGCAGGCAGGCAGGCAGGCAGGCTGCATGCTTCTGCGCATGCATGGGTCCCAGCCGTGGCACTGTCGTGCGTGGGTCCCCGCAATACCCAAGCAGTGACATGCTCCTCTGACACGCCCGTCAACCCTCATCCCCTGCCACAGGAACTTGCTGTGTTGGAAGGAGGCGTGGCACGATTCCTGGGGCAGGGGTACCGCAGCGAAGAGGGGGATGTCAGCGACATTGCAGGGGCGCGCATCATCACCACTGTCATTGTCAACGGCGCCCCCCGCACGGCTATAGAAGTGGTGGCGGGCGTCAACAAGTACAGGTAATGCGCCCGGGTGGTGTTGGACATGTAGGCATACATGGTGCACACCTTGACTTGGCTATGTGTCGCTTCAAAGTTTTGTTTCATCTGGACGGGCTCATTAGCATGTCAGCAAATATTCATGTCACCGTGAATTCATCATCAATTTGCACCAGGTTTGGAGAAAGCCTGGAGCTTGTGGAGCAGGAATGGCTTGCGAGCGAGATCAATTCCTTTTTGGAGGAGCGGTCTGGCCGGGCGCCGCAGGCGGAGGGCATGACGCAGACAGAGCCTCCCGAGGTGAGGTTGCGCAGGGCGCGCTTCAGGCCAGCTGGAACGCTCTTCTGTGGCCAAGTGTCTTGCCAGGCAACCTGGGTAGTATTTTAGTCGTGTACGGCCACACCGGCACATGGCTTGCCTGTGGCACTCTTAACTGTCTTTGCACCACCATCATCATCACCACCACAGGTATATGACGACGTTGGCGTCACGTCCGGCAGCAGTGTGAGTGGCAATCGTGCTTATGAGCCAGCATTGTATCCGCATTGGTGGTGTCGGTGCTCGCTGGCACAATGCTGGCCTGTCTGCATTTTGACCTTGCTCACATTCTCCTGAACTCTTGCTCATTCAGGACCCCTTCTGGACAAGCGTACGAGAGGATGACCGCATAGACCCCTTCAACAACAGAGACCGCCGATTTTGAACCTTGTCTTGCTCCATTTGACAGTAAAACATTCTGAAGTTTTCGTGTAAACGCTTGCCCATTGTGTAACTATGTGATATTCTGCACGGTGTGACAAGGGTAGTAACAATTTCAGGTCAAGATAAGGGCTTAGGGTTTGAGCTTGATGTTGAAATCCCAGTGAGTCCCACACGCACCCCTCAACTTGCTGACCT